AGAGGATGCTGTGGTCAGAAGAGTTCCGTCGTCGTCAATGAGACAGCGTTGATGTCTGGATTCAAAGAGACTTTTATTTCTAAAAACTAGACTATTTATACAAATTCTATTTACATGTATACGTGTTTACCTACAATATAATTTTTAAATGTCAAACGAAGGAAACGTCTACTTAGCAGGCTGGTCTTGCACATTGCTATTCGGTCAGTGCACTGCTGAGTAGCCTACTATCGTCACGTGGTAATTTATGTCTGGTCTGGTTGTCTGTCATGTCACGTGAACGTGAACAACTATTGTATATAAGATTAAAGTAGTAAAAAAGTCCAATGGTTTACGCCGAGTCAGTAATGAACAAACCTTAAACATAGCCAGCCTCTCTCGGCTGGTTGCAAGCGTGCAGCCCAAATCTAATCAAAAGCATGCAATTTTAAAATCTTCATTATGTACTTGTTTTATACGGTTAAAGAGCAATCCTCAATAAAAGGGTCATATAACAAAGTCATATTCGAATCAACTCCTTTTTAAAGCGTTGAAAAGGTTCACAAAACTGGCAGGTTTTTAGTAACTCTTGAGATGAAGTCTTATAATTATGTGAATAGGATCAGTATACAGTGTGTGAGCGTTATTTATTTATTATTTAAATACAGTAAACAGGTATTTTAGCTTATAGATTAGGTCATCAACATAAACAGTGAAAACAATGGTCCTAAACGAGAACCTTGAGCTACGCCTGGCTTATTGGACATAGGAGTTAAAACCCTTTATAGTAGCTAATTGATTCTGATAACATATCAACAATAATCCTGTCTAATATAGATAGGATTGTACCAACGTTGTAAATTTCCATGCATAGTGTACCATGAAAGCTGCTGACACAGCAAAGCATGATACTTTGTCAATGGCCTTCTAGAAACCTATATATATCGAGTACACCTGTCCACACTAACTAAACACAGATAATTAATATTCCAGTAAGTTTGAGAGATGATATGTACTCCTAACGTAGTTTGAGACATGGTGCTGTTCGGAGAGACATAACAAATTTAAAAACCTTGGCTGCACATGGTAAGATGCTAAGAGGTGTGTGATTTAACGAATCTCTAGATTTTTGTACGAGGACAAGTTGACCGTTAGATGCAGGCTCGGAAATGAGCCTGCATCTAACGATAACTTTAAAAATTTGTGCGAAGAGTTGGGATGCACATACTTTAATGAATTTAAATGGTATACTGTGTTGTTCTGTGTCTTGTTTTATGATATAGCTCCCTCAACTTCCGCATGACATCATATTTTGTCAATGTTATTCCATAGCACACATTCACACATTTGTCGTGTAACAGTCCTTACCACGCGTATTAATTTAAAAATAAACAATCAAATTATAAACTGATTGCGCAATATTTTAGTTTTTAATGGTTTTCCATTAGTTGTTACAAAAAAACTAACACACCGCAATGCAAATTAAGTTTTTTAATCCTGTACGACCTGCACTTTAAATGGATAAATAAACTGTATACTTGAATTATCCTGGTAACCTCCACACATTCGTGGTTCTCAAAGTTCAAGGTAGGATTATTTTTTTATGTTCAGTAAGTACACAATAAATGCGCACAATAAAGAGCAACTTCTTACCTATCTTTAAGCATTTTTTCATGTTTAATTTGTTTGCTCAATGTTCTGGTTACGACTAAATCGGTAAAAATAATTTATGTAAGTAGGTATGAAAATCAAATCTTACGATATTACGTAAGTACAGTAGTTCACATATTGAAATCAATTTTTCAAAAAGGAAGTTGTTGCTAGAGTATTTATAATTCGAGGTCCACAAATTGATTATGAAGTATTTAAATTTTGGACAATTCATACGACGATCGCACAATTTTCTTGCTTCGCTAGTTATATGACACAAAGTCAGCATAAATATAGATGGCAGTACAAGTTGACGGATCTTATTCAACAAAAGTGTATAACTTGATGTGCCGTTAACTGTAGATCTCTTAAATACTTTATTATACCACAATGATTTATTATAATTATTATTATTATTGGAGTTTACAATAAAAAAAGCAAAAATAGTATTATAATATTAACTTAAAGGTCTTTTTTTATGTAAGCAGCAAACAAGAGTAAGGCCCGCCTGAAAGCGGTCACCGTCTCTTATGAACACCTGCAACACCAGAGACGTCACGATTACTGTTTTAGGGAAACACGTGCACTCAATAATAATTATATGATATATATATAATTTTTATGATATCAAGCGACGGGATGAACAAATTGTGCGCCTGTGGGTAAGCGACATGCCTGCTCATAACAGCTACAGTGCCTGTCACTGTATGACGAGCACTGCCACTGCGCCCGTCACCCCAAATAACGTAAAGTTGACAAGTCTCATACGCCTGTAATTAGATAGGTCATGAATTAATCAAGTAGTTAATTAGACAGAATATACATATATTGTATGTATGTAGCATATATGAATACATTGATCTATATAATAATATATAAAAAATAATATTTGGTTGTCTCGTATACGTTTCCTTATTCAATCGATTACAACAAAGCTTCAATGAGATATTGTGCTCTCACGTGAACGTTTCTGACTTATTAAAGCAATTTTAAAATATTACGTGGGCCAGATGTTTTAACAATTGTGTCTGCAGCCAAGAAAGTGGTTCATTCGCAGATGCGCTTTCCAGAACATAAACACTTTTGTGTCAACAAATGTGTCTAAAACAAAAAAGGCGGTTCTTTTGCAGATAATTTGATGAATTGGAATGCATGCCGGGTACAGTTAGAATCATTAAATGATGCTGCATTAACACACGTTATGTATTGTTACAAGGTAAAATAAGCGTTAAACATGACAGCCTCCTTAAAGAGCAGTAAAAGTAAAATCTAAATTTAGGTCATTTGTAACAAATTAGATATAAATTTATGTAACACGGACAGAATATTTTCATTTGGCTCAGCAGATAATATCCTAAAATCTAAATCTAGTATTTAAATCACAACTTGGCTTCGATACAAGCTATGTAACAAAGTCAGAATGGTTTTCATAGCCCCGACACATTATTCCTTAAAATCTAAGGGAGATGCCACACAGGCGTTGCGTCGTCGCAACTGCGGTGATTACAACGGACTGAGTGCCACACGAGCAGTTCCGTCGACGCGTGCTGTTTCAACGCATCGTGTGGCATGTCATTCAGATATCTCTGATGATCGTTATGATATGTAAGTACAAGGCAGTTGCGACGACGCAACGTCCGGGTGGCCTCTCCCTTAGTGTTGATCATAGGGTCGAAACGCAAAACTACGAATAGGCGCAATGCGAATTCGCAACGCAGAAAACGCGAATTGCTGCGATGCGATTTCGTGTGGCAAAGTGTCTCACTGCCTTAAAGTGTAACTTGATGTAACTTAAAGTGTAACTTAAAGTGGAACTTTTACAGTGTAAACTTGCCTTCGACGATCGCCAACAGTACTGAACTTATTTTTTAAACTAGGTAGCGATATGGATCGTAAAAAGAGTGTTGCACTGCTGTTATTGACAAGAAAGTATAGGAAAAACACAAAGAAGATTAACATAGCAGGAATGCGCGATGCGGAGCAATTCACAAATTCGTCTCAGGTTGTATTAGGCACGAGCTTTATAACAGCGTAAAACCTCTGCATGAAAATTATTTCCTAAAATTTAAATAAACACTTTAGGTACCAAATTAGATTAAGTACCAGCCATATTACAGTAGTAAATCCTTTTAATCACCTCGATAGATTCTGAATACCTAAAACAAAGCACCTAACTGAATAGGTGAAGGTGGCAGCTCTTCTTCTCCTCACTAACTCTGTTAGAAAATTGAACATATGTATTGTATGGATACAGTTCGCATTACTACGAAACTTGATGGTTTAAAATGCTACTAGAAACATTGTTGTGTATTACGTTTTAAAAGATAAATAAATTTAAAAAACACTACTCATAGCCTGTCTTTACTAGTTAATTACAAAAGTTTGAGAACCACGATTGCGAGGTTTGGCATTGAATTGAATCTTTTATAGGTATATATGTATGAGGGTAACAGATATAGGTAATTACTATTCGTTGACAGGTCTATGTTTGATTATGCATCGGTAATTTTTTATTGTTAACAATACACGGTGATGCTATATTTTTAGTTCAAATATTTTATCATGTGAATGCAATTTTTAATCTCCTTTCAATTGCGTGTTTGGGATTTTTCTATGACTACGAATAGAGTGTTATGTGAAAGCCTTTTCCACCACCACGTGAATTCACTTTTGTTAAACCATCTGACAAAGTGCAACTGCGTATGTGAAGGTCAATTAATTCAATGGTCTTGTTCCATTCCGACGTTTCAAAAAGAAGCCCAGTGTTATAATAACTCAATGATATTTGTATTAGCAGTAGAGCTAATTGTGAAAGAGTTCGTGAGGAGAAGAAGAACTGCCACCTTCACCTATTAAACAGGATTGTGAGCTTAATTACATAGAGATTAATTACTGCGTTCCGGTTTTGAAGGGTAAGGTTGCCGTTGAAATATATGCACACGGGACTTCTCAACTTATGTCTCTGAGAAACGGGCAGTGGCAGTGTCCCTTAGATCTTTGCGATTTGAAGTTCTGAGTGGCACTGCAATGGACAGGCGTGTAGCTTACCACTAAGCAAACGTGTTGTTCGTTCCGTCTCTTGGTCTCATAAATAATAATAATAAATGTTTGATGAATGGCACCTGTGATGTAGTAGTCATCTTGTTTAGTCACTATTGTATCTAATAATTTAAATACAGATGGAGATTTCCACCTTCGGGCTTCATTATTATACTTCCACATATTTTTTAAGACCTCAAACTAAGGTCAGACGAATGTTATAAAACCCAACATTTATTCACGCTGAACACATACGTTTCCGCGACTCTTACGAAATATTATCAATGGACGTGACCATATGGAAAATAATAACATGTATTATTTTAGTGGCAATGAACTACGCATACTCATTGACTAGGCCAAATAGACTATTGACCATCTCATTACCCGACAAACGACCCCTCAAGAAAGCTCTAGGCTTTATAGAAGACACATACTTAAATTTCACAGAACTCACAACAAAATATAAATACCCTACTGAAGAACATACAGTGACAACAGATGACGGGTACATCTTGCGCGTGTTCAGGATTTTACCGAAATGTAATGGCACGAGCAAAGCTTTACCGGTAGTGACAATGCATGGAATTTACGACTCGTCTGATGAGTATATACTTCCTGGACCTAAAACAGGTCTCGGGTACATCCTGTCGAGGAACTGTTACGATGTGTGGGCAGCTAACCACCGCGGCAACGTGTACTCGCGCCGACATGTTCATCTCAATCCTGACACGGATCCAGAGTTTTGGGAATACACCTTCGACGAACACGGCTATTTCGACATTCCTGCAATTGTGGACTACGTTTTAGAAGCCACTCAACAAACAAAATTAAATTATATCGGACACTCACAAGGTACAACTGACTTTTTGGTCATGACGTCTTTGAGACCGGAATATAATGACAAGATACAAATATCCTTCCAAATAGCTCCTGTGGCCTATTTGCGACATATACGAAGTTTCATCCCTAAATTATTAGCTCAAGCGCACGCGCCTCTAGGAACAATTTTAAAACATTTAGGTTTAAGAGAGTTGCTAGGAAGACAACAAATTGTCCATTTCGTGATAGAGTTTTTGTGTCAGTTTGCTCCTGAAGATATATGTGGTGCTGGATTCGCATTGACGACGGGATATAAACGAGGTTACATAAAGCCTAGAAACTTAGCCGTTGTGTTTGGACATTTAATATCTGGCATATCAACTAAAGACTTGATTCATTTCAGCCAACTTATTACCTCTGGAAGATTTCAACGGTTTGACAATGGAATGGCAGGAAATTTGAAAAAATATAGCTCGGTAATTCCTCCAGAGTATAATGTGTCTAAGATAACATCGGCTGTTGTGTTGATATGTGCTCGCAACGATTATGTGTCCGAATTGGAAGACATTGCCATATTGAGATCGAAATTGCAGAATGTCGTTGAATATTATGTTGCGCCGGACCCGTACTGGAGCCACAATGACCACTTTTACGCCATAAAAGCACCGCAGTTAGTATTTTCTAAGATTTTGGAACATCTGAATAAGGTTAATGTTTAAATGTTTTACCAAGACGTACGTCCTGACGCTTGAACAAACACGTAACATCATCGGCCCCATCGTTGGTTAAAATCAGGTGAGATTACGAAAAAAACATTATTCAATTTCATATTTTAAAAAGTAAAAACTTCAGGCCGCATTCTTAAGCTTTCGCGGTTGCTTTACATTGAAAATGAAACTTTTTTCCTGTACGTTAGTTTGTTCGAAAAAAAAAATGCGTGATTTTAAGACAGAAAAAAGTACTTTCATTTCCAATAGAAACCCCAGGATTAATTTTGTTACTTATTGCAGATGTAATATAACTATGTCAAATTTAAATAATAACGCCTAGATGTACACCAAAGAGTTAAATTGTAGATTTTTTTGTATAAGGCACATAAATTGTTACTTATTAACCTAATTTTCGTTGAAATTTATGCCGTGTATTTATTAAAGCATTATGTAATAATGTGATTTTTTTTAATTATGATTCAATGTGATAATATTTTTTTTATTTATTCTAATTAGATCAGGCAACATGACCCATATAATATACAGCTTAAGGACTAACATACATATTATAATATAATATAAAAACTAAATAACTAATCTACACTAAGTGCACTTGTCGGCGTCGTATCGCGCAATCTGGTGTCAGGTAACCTGCCTCGGAATCGCCGACATATGACACCCTTTGGCCTGAACTCCTCCTTTATGAAGGACGTCAGATAATTATATATTTCTTACAAACTGCTGCAGCCAAATAACAATAAAAAAGACAGAAATTAATACATTGAAGTTAGCGACCTCGGTGGCTTAACGGTTTGTAGTGGGGGCCCTGAATGGAGGAGGTCCCCCGGGTTCGATTTCCAGTAAAAGAGAGATAGAAATTAATACGTTGAAATTGACAACCTCTGTGGCTTAACGGTTTGTAGTGAGGGCGCTGAATGGAGGAAGTCCCGGGTTCAATTCCCAGTAGGACTAATTTGGGAAATGATTTCTAAATTAATGTCCCGAAGTGAATTCCATTGCCCTGGTATTCATAGTGTAGGAAATTCCCTACTTTGAGACCAGGTAATTGGTGTGGTTGTCTCGCATTATCTATTATTTATTTTTTTAATAATCATCACAATATTATTGACGTTGATCATAGACTTCGTAATAAATTATCAATTTACTAACGAAGGCCATGGAGACATTAAATCGGATGCGGCGTTTTGGTTTTATTTAAATTAAGCATGAAGGACGACAGATGATTATACATTTGTTATAAACTACGGCATCCAAATAAAAATTTTAAAAAAGACAGTAATTAATATGTTAAAATTGACGACCTCTTGGCCCAACAGTTTGAATGAGGAGATCCCGGGTACCATACCCAATAGTAGGATTAATTTGGGAAATGATTCCTAAATTAGTGTCCCGAAGTGAATTCCCACAGATCAAATAAATACTATAGTCGTCACCAAATATTGGCCACATTTGACACTTGTCATCGTGACGCGAATAGGGATGTGGACTAATCATATCGGTAATCACATTATACAATTTTCACGAGAAATCGATTCAAAATTTTAAGTGTTTGTAATTGTTTAGATTATTTTTCGGTTCATTGTTGTTCAGGAGGCCTAAAAGACCAAATCGTGCAATTCTATTAAAAACAATTCATTTGCAGAATTCCTTTCAATTCTGTAGCAATTCCTCTCATTTTCGTAAAATTGTCCTACATTCCGATGAATTGTATCCAATTCTTTTAATTTTGATTTTATAATATTCATAAATGGTTTATTACGAGAATTTTGTGTTATTTACACTAAATTCTTATAATAAACCATTAACAGTATGTTCATCGATAAAACAACTACATAAAAAAAAAGTATTAAATTACCAAGACACCAAGGATTTCATGAATTTTCAATTATTCGGCTGGCAATTAGTTAAAAGTTGATGTCAACGACAAACAATCTCAAATAATGTTCATAACGAGTTCTTAGGTTTTCGCGATTGTTACACATGGGAAATGAAACTATTTTTCCGGAGTTAAATCGCGTATATTTGTTTTTTCAAACAAACCGACGTTGCGGGCCCTTTACAGGTCCCATGGTCACGGTTGACTGAGGTGGTACAGTCTTCAGCCAGTTATGTCTAATATTAATGCAAACCACCCTATTTTTTCACTATAGTTACAATAGTTATTAATTAAATACCTTATTTTTAATTTTACAAAGAAAACATTCCAATTTACGTTACATTAAGTTTTACAAATTATTTTATTGAATGAATTTTTATTAAGTTTAATTTATTATTATTGACCATGGGACCTGTAAAGGGCCCGAAACGTCGGTTTGTTTGAAAAAACAAATATACGCGATTTAAATCCGGAAAAATAGTTTCATTTCCTAATGTTCATAATTTAGAAAACAGGAACAGTCCAAAAGCAAAGCCGAGTCACAAGAAAAATACATAAAAAGTAACCAAGCGCACAGTCAACTTCCAAGATAGCGAAAGACTGCGCGGTGCGCAAGCGCGGTATCAGTGTTGACAATTCAAAATTTGCAAAAAAGAAAAGGAAATACAAATCTGGCTCAGAGTACGGGGCTCTTATCAATTTGATAAATTATAAATTTATTTTCAATAGGTATGGTCAAAGATGTTATGTAGGTACATAATTTTTTTAAATACAGCTATTTATAGACATTTTTGTTTTAATATTTAATAAGCAATGTTTTGTGCGAGAAATCGAAGTGACTCGGTGAAATTCGGCGATTAATTGCTTACAACGCTATTATTTAAAAAAAAATAGCTTTAGGACGTAACTGTTTTCAGGACGTTTCGGAGTAACTCAAAATTGCATTTTATATTGTAATTCATGCGAAAACAGTATTTCAAATATGTTTTGTCATATTATATAATGTTTCAATAAAATTTATGTTTACTTACCCATGCTAATAATTGTTTGTTTATTGTTTCGTTGATCGCATTCAAAGTTATATACTATCGCCTTCTTTAGCTGTCAAATGTGGCCTCTTATTTGGTGACGACTATAATAAATAATTCTTAAAAATAAAAGCTCTGGTATTCATAGTACAGGAAGTTCCGTAGTTTGAGACCAGGTAATTGGTGTGGTTGTCTCACATTGCCTATAATTAATTTTTTAAATAATCATCATAATACTATTTTCGTTGATCAGATACTTCCTAATAAATTATCAATTTATTAACGATGGCCATGGCGGCATTAAATCGGATGCGGTGTTTTGGTGGTTATGTTGAGTGTGTGGTTTTATTTTAGTCAGCCAAACTTCATTGCTGACTGCACATCATACATGTTTATATTGTTTATATTTATATACTTACATCAGTTTTGCTACTTTTATGACACTACAAAAAAAATTTATGTTGATTAATTATGTTAGTTTTCATTTACTTAATGTCTGTACTTCCCAGGGTGGTGGGCGCAGTGTCATTGCCCCTCAGATATGTGTGTTAAAAGGCACTGAATGGTACTGCAACTGTTATGGACAAACGTGTCACTTACCACCAGATGCGCGACTTATTCATCCCGTCACGCGATTTAAAAAAAATGACCGTCATTTGTCACATTTTGTCTACATTTCGTCACGTGAAGATATAAAAAATTATTTAAAAAAATAACTTCATAAGATCCTTAATAATAACATACTACCGCTACCTTGTCGAACCAAAACAAAACTGTATCAATAACCAGAACAGCATTTTGAGAAAAAGCTGCAAAAAAGGTAAAATAAACATATACATTAAACTTACTTGTACATTAGATATTAAATAATTCCATCTAACCATCATAATTTAACTTTATATATTATAAATTTTTATTTATAAAAATCTACCTCAAAAGAGTGTGTAATTAAATTTACCAAATTTTATTGAAATCCGCTGAAAGACAGTGGGTGAAATTCAATAAACAGGATTCATCATCCAATTTGCCACCCTTAGAGGTGGACTATTTACTTCAAATTTGAATGGGAACACTACTGGGGTGTACCTGTAGTGGTTCCATTCCAACAAAAAAAAAGAATCAACGAAATCGGTTTACAAATATCGTATCGTAACATACACATAAAAAATAAAGTCGCATTGACAAACTCCTCCTTTTTCAAGTCGGTTAAAAAATCTATTACTATTGAAAAAAATATTATTTTCCCTTGACAAGACATGAAACTTTTTCTAATGAAATTACAATACATTTTAGTAGTTAGTAGAGCTCCTTATGAAAGAGTTCCTCCAGGGAAGTTCTGATACCTTACCTATTTCTGCCACCAAGCAATAATGTGAGCATTACTGTGTTCCGGCTTTGAAGGGTAAGTGTGCTGGCGAAATTGCAAGCACATGGGACTTGTCAACTTGTCACCGAGTCACAGGCGTAGTGCCTCTCAGATCTTTGCGACTTAAACTTCTGAGTGGCACTGCAATTGTTATGGACATCCGTGTCGCTTACCATCAAGCGTAGGACTTGTTCGTCCTATCACGTGATATTATAAATAAAAAACAAAACATTGTACTGAGCCTTACAGTGTTTTGGTTTAACACGATGACGGTGCCAACAATCTATTTATAAAATTATATTTTCGATAAATAATCCAAAAACATACATCTATTTTTAAATTATGTTTAAATAATCGATCTAAAGCAGAAAAAAATCTGTAACTTTGAATCTGTGAGTAAATAAATAATAACACAAAAGAATCGGAATCGCAATCCTTGTTTGCCTTAAAATAGACGATCCTTTTTAATGACAAAACAAAATAAATGATATTTAAATATCAAATCCGGTAGGTCAACAGTCAGGAAGTGATTTATTGGCAACTAAACTTTTAAACTTTGTGTGATGCAATTACTTAGTGAGGATGAATTTCAAATCTCAAAATCTTCATATGTCATATCATATCACAGACCACGTAAATACTGTCCATATCATTCTTTTATTAATAATTTTTTAGTAGAAGTAGAGCTCCGTATCCAAGGAAGTCAGGAAAAAATTACTGCCACCTTACCTATTCTGCCACCAAGCAGTAATGGGAACATTACGGTGTTACGGTTTTGAAGGGTAAAAATACTGGTGAAATTACAGGCACATAGGACTTGTCAACTTATGTCTCAGGGCGACGGG